TATAATACTTCATAAGTTTTCAAGATATGTTAACATGTTTATTTGTTGATATTTATAAATTATAAAAATTATAACATTTCATAAATTTATCTACCCTCACATGGCTTAATAGAAAAGATGACGTCATACAACTTTTATATTTATTTCATAATCTTAATTTTATATGGATTGTACATGAGAAAAATATTACAAACTATTTAATTATTAGAAGGACCTACAAATGATAAAGAAAAAAAATTGCAAAATCTCAATATCAACACAATAATAAAAATAATAAATTATAGCATGGTTTACAAAGAATACGGATGATAACAAAAATAAATGTGACTTTCTCAACAACTGTGAGGTATTGTATTCTATCTACCATAATGGCTTCCTTGCAAAACAAAGCGAAGCAAATAAGATTGGTGAATTAGTCGGACAAAGAAGGTGAAAGGTATAAAGAGGAAGGCTACCATGATTTTGGATATTTAAGAATTCATGAGAAATTCTTTAGTCTTTATTTTCATAATTCTGCATTTATCTTATTAGTTAATATTACATTTTATTTTATGAACTTTTTCATCTATATTAGTTAATATTCTAAAATAATTTTATTTTATGTTACAAGACTGCATCCTGGATCGCACATTAGCATTGTAATGTTAAATATCACAAGCTATGAATGTAATAACCCAAGAATTTAAAAAAATAAAATAAAATAAATAAATAAACAAAGGGGTCCATTTTTATAATTTTAACTTTATAGAATTACCAATATACCCTTCCTCACCCTATGTAATTTTCTCATTTTCCTTTCCTTCTCACTAGGAAAATGTCAGTTATCAGAGTATAAGAGAGTGTGAGAAGAATCAGGAGTTTGGATGATTGTTTCTCTTCGTTCCCCTGCCATCACTGACTCATCTCTGTCTTCTTCATTCCTTGCCATCACCGATGTCAGAGGGGGCTCACTGTTGGTCTGAAACATTCAGGTTCATCTGCGTATCTCTTACCTCTATTTTTTTCCCTTCTTCATTCACTGCTCTCCCTGTGTCGTCCACGTATAAGTTGTAGATGGAGTAAGGGACCAAATTGTTGAAGCTAGAAGGTTCTTCTCACGAGTTCTTCCTTCCCAAGTTTAGCTGTGAGCCTCGTTATTCCTTCCTTTCTGTGATCCCTGTTTCTACGTCTTCTCTGCGTGCTATCTGTCCGTGCTGTTTTGAGCTGAAAAGTTGCAAAGTATCGAGTGCTAGAGGGCTGTTACTGTGAGCTCATATTGGTGTGGCTGAATCAGTCTTCTTCCATTGTTGGGTGTAGTGAAAACGTTCTGCTTATATCTCCCCTGTTCAGCATTCAAGATTATGTTTGTTTCTTGTTTCTCTCAGTTCGCCCCTGTTCAGGCTAGCTAAGTTGAGGTGAGGAATTTCTGACCTTTCATCTATTGGCTTGTTATACGTGTGAGTGTGTTTGTGCTGCTGTTGCTTTGTGTGTGTGGGTGCAGCAATATTCTTTTTGTTCTGCTGTTGCTATCCGTGCGTTGTAGGAAGAAGAAGGAGCAAATTTGAGCTGAAAAAAAAAACGTGACTTAAAGCTTGGTAATGATATATGTATGGGCTAACCTTTGAGTTAAATTCATTTTATTTAAATTAGTTGATAATGAAGAATTAATTAGGATTATGTTAGAAGAGATGAGATATGCAACTTGTGGAATGATGGCTGTAAGATGGTTGTTGAAGTGATTATTAGTAGAAATTGAACTTAATTTTTGAATATTTATAGAGATTCATTAATTCTTGTGAGAAGTATGAAATTCAATTCGGATGTTGCAAAAAATATTTGTCTATGAAATTTATAATGTGATATTTTTTAAAATTTTTGAAGGTGGATAGTTGTGTAGGAAATATTGAATGCTAGCATTTTTATGAGGAGATTGGAAATGATTTATGTTTGGTGCCTTAACCAAATGCTAGTGAGGATTTAAAAGAAAATTTAAATGTATTATAGTTTAATATTGGAGGTGAGTGAAGTTGGAAAAAAAATTATTGTACTGGTTGAGAATTAAATAAAATTTTAATATAATTATAGGGAATTTGGAAATGGAGAAATTTGATTAAAGTTGAGAGGAGAAATTTAAATTCTGGAGATTTCAAGTAAGTGGATAGCATCTCATTTAATTTATTTTTATTTTTACTAGTCTTTTACTGAAATATTTCACTCTTCTAAATTATATTAATTTTTTTTTGAAATATTGAAGAAGGATAATTGAATTATGATATGTTCATTTATTTTTCCTCAAGAAATATATTTCTAACTTGGATGAAGGCATTCTTGCTTATTAAACTCCAGAATTTCTTGGTTACTCAATTAATGTTAGCCTGTACATTGGCTATGAAGTACTATTTTGTCAAATTTTGAGATTTGAAACAATTCATGCAAGTTTGGTATTGAGAATGGAAAATTTTATTGCAAAAATAATTATTTTTCTCGCATGTTTGAAATGTGATTTTCAAGAGGACTTTAGACAGACCACTACTGCTAATGGCAGTTCCGTTAGCCCGTAGCGCACTGTGGTTAATAACTAGCTAGTTTGTCTCATGGGCTTTGTTCTCACGTTTGGTATTCGTGGGCTTTGTACCCGCATTTGATTTCATGGCCTTAAGCCGGGTTTGGTTATTTTTACCCTCGTGGATTGTGTGTTTATGTTTGTTTCGTGGCTTTGGCTACGTTTGATTACTTACCCTCGTGGACTGTGTGTCCACGTTTGTTTTCATGGCATGAGCTGTGTTTGGTTATTCTTACCCTCGTGGATTGTGTATCCACGTTTGTTACTTGTTCTATTAAGTCCTCAAAAATTTGAATTTTGAAACTCATTGATTTGAAATTCCAATGGTTTCAATTAGCAATTGTATTTTTATTTATTTATTTTTGCACGAGTAATTTGTTTTCTTTAACAAGGATAGAATAAAGTGCTTTCAATTTACTCTCATTTCATGATTATGATTATGATTTATATATTTATGAAGTTATTATGTTGGATTATCATCTTTTCAATTATTTACACGATTATTTGAATTTATTATTTTAATTCTTTTAAATTCATTTTTGGGGGTGCTATTCACTGAAAAATTTATTTTGGTCTCAGATTTATTAATTGATGCTACTCCTATCGCCGACCTCAAAATGGCAATATTGGGTGGAAATTTTGCTTGGTATTGTTACCTTTTAATGTAAATATTTAAGTCTTATGTATTTTAATTTAGAGAAAAGAGTAGTTGTTCCACATAGATTGTTGCGAGAACTTTGTTTTGTTTTATATATTGTTTGCTAGCGGGAAGGAGCTAAGTTCTTGATTGATATTATATTTTGTAGAATATTTTTTTTATGTTAAAGAATTTTCAAGAGACTTTATTTACAGAAAATGTTCTGTCAAAATTTTTATAAAAGCTTTGAAGCTTTACTTTGACAATTAGTATTAAAAGTGTTAGAACTTTTACATGACTTGATTATTTAAAAGTAAATTGAAATGAATTTTTATTTTAAGGCTTACGAGAATGCACAATGTAGTTCGCACCCGTGCCGGTCATCCTCTATTTTAAGAGATGACAATGAATATCCCGATTAAAGATCATACATATATAGCTAGGATCACTAGCTGGATTCCTTAGTTTGACTTTGTGAACAAGCTATGAATCCTGATTAAATTATTATAAAATTAATGATAATACTGCCAAAAATTAACTTAGTAAAATATTCAACATAACCACATTTAGAATAATTAAAAGTCAGTTTTGTTTTATTTGAATTTAAATATTAATATTTTGCAATGATAAATATCTTACAATATAATACTTCAAAACACAATGTTTATGTTCATCCTCATCCAAAAATATTATATATATAGATATAGATATAGATATATATATATACATATATTAATTTTTAACATTCATATTCATTTTAAGTATTTTTAAAGGAACGTGACGCTATATTCCTTTACGTTACAAATAAATATTATCTAACTTTTTAGGGGAAATTGGCCATAAAGACCAAAAGGCTTAAATATTAGGGCATAAGTCTCAAATGCAGAAATAAAGCTTAATTACAAGGGACAATGGTCCTTGAAGAATAATATATTTTTAAGTGAAAATATTAAAATACCTTTTTTTTTAATCCCGCACTTATCTCTAGCGTGCAGGTTATTGAAGATTCATGATGACTTCAACAAATCAGTGTAAAAGAAAGAAAGATATTTTTTTAAAATATATAGGACCATGATCCCCTGCAAGCTTTATTTCTATATTTGGACTTATGCCCAAATATTGATCCTTCAATCCTTATGGCCAATTTTTTCAACTTTTTAAAACCACTTTTTGCCACAAAAATAAAGATATTTTGTTAAGGAAAAATATAGACCACCGACAAAAAATTATATTAATTAAGAATTAATTATTATTAAAATCTAAATGAATACTTATTAATATGGTTTAATCTTTTATCAATAAGTATCTATTCGGGTTTTAACAATAATTCATTTTAAATTAGCAACAATTCATTGGAGCCTATTTATTAATAAATATTTATTTAAGTTTTAATAACAATTAGTTCTTGATTAATATAATTTTTGTCATGATCCTTGATTACTATTTTTTTTTCTTTTTTTAATGTATCACTCTGGGTTGTGTCGTGATAAAGCAGGCGGGCGTTAAAATATTATACGCCAAAGTACTATATCACCAAACTTGTTAGTTCATGACGGTCAAATTTGGTGCCTTAGTTGTGATTATTTTTTTTTTAAAAAAGGAATGTTACTGGAAAAGATAATGATTCTACTTTTGTTCTTTGTCAAACAACGGATTGTCTTGTTTGGATGCAAATAATTCCCTCGTAAATCAATTTCATCTCTTCATCACTTCATGCAAGCGGCCGAGAAGCACGTTGTGCACGTGGAGTAATAATCAGATAACCTTTGAAACTACTTAAAACCCCATCACCTTCCACTCTATAAATACCCACAACGTCTAGCTCTGCTTCATCAACGCACAGATTCTGAAAAAGCTTCTCCGAGTTACTGTAATTAAAAAGAAGGAAAGATGTTGAGTTCAGGAGTGAGTTTTGTGTCAGACATCTTTGGTGGCAACAAGGGAAAGATCAAAGGTACGGTGGTGTTGATGAGCAAGAAGGTTCTGGAGTTCAATAATTTGGACCTCAAAGCAGGAATCAACTTGGGTCTTGATGTTGCTACCTCTGTCTTCGATGGTCTTCATCAGATCATTGGTGGAGCTGTCTCTCTCCAACTCATTAATTCCACCAAGGCCGATCCTGGTTCGTTCTTTCATCTTTCACCTATATCTTTCTCTCCTTCTTTCTGTTACAGCTTGTCCAAATATAAGTGGACTTGAAGTAACATGACAAGTCTTGTAGTATACAAAGTTGGGCTTAGTAAGCAATATATATTAAAAAAGAAGAATTCATAGATTTAAATTTTGAGATTTTGTGTTAAGATATGATGTCTTTTAATTTGTTCATTTGTTTTTGTTTTGAAATTGACGAGCAGGGAATGGTTTGGGGAAACTGGGAAAGACGGCGCCATTGGAAGGTTTTATTCGGACATTGCCAACGTTGTTGAATGGCCAAGCTGCATGCAGGGTTCATTTTGAGTACGATGATCAGTTTGGTCTGCCAGGAGCCTTTGTGATTAGGAACAATCTTCAAAATGAATTCTATCTTGTGAGCTTGACACTTGATGACATCCCAAATCACAGTTCCATCCACTTTGTTTGCAACTCTTGGATTTACCCTGATAGCAAATATCCAAGCGATCGCATCTTCTTCGCCAACAAGGTACGTACGTAAGCTTACATTAAATAATATTTTCAACGCTCCAAAAAATTTACCTCATTATTTATTAACTACTATGCTGGGCTCGGGCTTCTCTCTGTTTGTTCTTTCTTCAAAAAGCATGCGTGCTTTCGTAAAGAGATAGACTTAAGCCTTGTTGGCTCCACGTAGACCTGACATGTCAAGTGGCCCCACTAATGCTAAATAATATTAACGTATCAAAATTTACTTCATTTGAGTTAGTGGAACGTTCAAATTGTCTCTGCTTAATTTGAAAAGTAGTACCGGAATTTTACATATAAAAATAATTTTGTTTACACAATGACAGTTACAAAGTAATATTTATTTTAATTATGTATCTACTAAAGTATTAATTTATTAAAAATATGAAAATAATATTATATCAAATATGGATAGTTCAAATTAAATTCGGATTGCCAGATTGCTACGTGGTGAAGCCATGTCACCTAGCCGCCCAGGTTGGGTCTCGTATGTCATAAGGGCCTACATGCATGCATGGCTTGGCTTGTGTCTTTTTCTCTCCGAGAAGAACAAACAGAAGCTACCTTCGGTGAAAAATTAAAAAACAAATAGTAAAATGAACCACCAAATGAAATGTTTGTTCTCTTGAATTTATTTGTTTTTCAACACATATATGGTTGATGAAGGAATTAATGTTATGTTGCAGGCGTATCTGCCAAGCCAAACACCAGCGCCATTGCGGAAATACAGAGAACAAGAGCTGATTACTCTAAGAGGAGATGGATTCTCAGAATGCAAAGAGTGGGACAGAGTCTACGATTACGCTACTTATAACGATCTCGGCGATCCAGATTCCAACGCAAAGCTAGCTCGTCCAACTCTCGGAGGCTCCGCCGATTATCCTTATCCTCGCAGAGGAAGAACCAGCAGACAACCAAACAAATCTGGTAACTTGATTAACTATATAATTTTGTCATTTTTCTGGGCGTTGTTGTTGGCATGTCAAGTATGAGTTGAGTTGACTTGGTAAAAGGAAAAAGTCACGCATCAAATTAAAAAAAAAAGTCCTTTTGGATATGTTCTCCTCAGTTATAACTAAGCAGCTAGTATTGGTTTGTTTTTGTTCATAATTTTTTGTTCGTTTGAATATACTTGAATGAACAGATCCGAGCACCGAGAGCAGGCTTCTTTTTCTTGTTGAGAACTTCGACATCTATGTGCCACGAGATGAACGGTTTGGGCACACTAAGTTATCAGACTTCTTGGCGTATTTGCTAAAATCTGTGGCTCAAGATCTGAGGCCTTTACTGGAATCGGCATTTAGATTGTCAAATGAGTTCAAGGACTTTGATAACGTGCGTGATCTCTATAGTGGTGGCTTGAAGCTGCCACACGACTTGCTCAAGGATTTCAGTGAAAAGTTGCCCATACCGTTGCTCTCAGAACTCTTCCGAACTGATGGCGAACAGTTCCTCAGATTTCCAACTCCCTCAATCATCAAAGGTAATTGAGCCTCCTAATTTTAGATAAGTTAAAAAGACATATATATATATATATATATATGTATATGTATATGTAGATCAGAAAGGTTAAAGAGTTTACCTCAAAGTCTATGGCCTGGATTGATGTGAATTGGTGCCAAAAATAAAAAAAATAATAATAAATTGTTTTGTTTGGAAGCCATCTCGAATCTTAGAATATTAAGGTATCTTTGAATAATAAGGTATAATATATAAAAAGTCTCGAAAAAAAAGAATATAATAATAAAGGGATGTGAGGGGTATGAAGGCTTGTACGTGGAGATCAGTCCTAATTTACCTAATAAATTATTTGATAAGATAAATGAGCCTCCAAGTAAGATAGAAATCTTGTGCATTTGTAATTGTGAAACAATTAATCTAGGCTTAATTAATTTCTGTCACTTAATTGGTGCAGAAAATGTTTCTGGATGGATGACTGATGAAGAATTTGCAAGAGAGACGCTTGCTGGTGTGAATCCTTGCTTAATCCAATGTCTCCAAGTAAGTTTATTAGAAGATAAAATAACCCTATAAGTTAAATTCCATCTTCAATTGACATAAGCAATGATAAAGTTATGTGCGCTCGCGCTTCATGATTTATTTTTTTAAAGTGCAACACTAAGTAAGTTATGATTAGATGTATCGAATTTTAAATCTTAAAAGTCAAACGTCATCATTTTCAATTGACATAAGACAAACAATATTATGTGTTGTGTATGCATGCGTGTGATTCATGTTTTGAAATAAAACTATAGCAAATGATTATATTTATTTTTCTAATAGCACAGCGATGGTATGTTAGATTACAATCTAATTTTAAATCTTAAAAATTAAACTTCATTTTCAATTGACATAAGAAAAAATATTATATGTATACATGTGCTTCATGTTTAATGTTCAAATTAAAATATATCCAATAATTTATTTCTTTATAGTGCGGCATCATATCATTAACCAAGTCTGATGAAAACATCCACGAATTAATATACCAAGTTTTTAATAAAGAATTGATAATGAATATTTTTAAAAAATGATTTCAATCTCAATCCTTTTAATTACCTTAATCGCCCAACAGAGAATCATATAGTTTGCGATAATTGTCATAATTCTCTTGAAAAATAAATTAATTGCAGGAGTTTCCCCCAAAAAGCAAGCTAGATGCTAATCTCTACGGTGACCAAACCAGCAAAATTACCAAGGAACAATTGGAGAAAAGCATGAACGGATTCACAGTGGATGAGGTAAACGATGATAAATCTTAGAAAATGATATAAACTCTCTCTCTCTCTCTCTCTATATATATATATATATATATATCTCATGACTTTATATATATATATATATATGTTTCACAGGCACTGTCCACCAGGAGACTGTTCATATTAGACCACCATGACGCATTCATGCTATATCTGAGACGTATAAACAGTGAAACTGGGAATAAGGCTTATGCCACAAGAACAGTCTTCTTCTTGAAAGACGATGGGACCTTGAAGCCATTGGCCATTGAATTAAGTTTACCTCATCCTGATGGAGACCAACATGGTGCTGTTAGTAAGGTGATTCTACCTGCAGACCAAGGTGTCGACGGCACCATTTGGCTCTTAGCGAAAGCTTATGTAACTGTCAACGACTCAGGCTTCCATCAACTTGTTAGCCACTGGTATATAACTTCTGAGAATTAATCACATGAACTCAGTCTTGCATGTATAATTTACTTTAATGATTGTGTTTTGCATCGCAGGCTAAATACTCATGCAGTTATTGAGCCATTCATCATAGCAACGAGCAGGCAATTGAGTGTGCTTCATCCCATTCACAAACTCCTGCATCCACATTTTCGTGACACGATGAACATAAACGCGCTGGCTCGACAAGCCTTGATCAATGCAAGTGGCATTATAGAGTTGTCATTCTTGCCTGGAAAATATGCCATGGAGATGTCTTCTAAGGTCTACAAGAACTGGGTTTTTCCTGACCAAGCCCTACCAGCTAACCTTATTAAAAGGTATAATATAATCCAAAAGTTTCATTTTCATTAAGAAACTATATATATACACACTTGGAAAAGGGGAGAAAGCAAATGAGCAAGAACAATACAAAGACACCACATTTAAACTCAAAATCTTGAAGCTCAAATTTATGAGTCCTTCTACCATGTTAATACTAGCTATTAAGCCTAATTTAATCTGATGTGCCACATTACATTTAGACTTCCTAATTAATAACATAAAATATATTATTAGCATGTTGATGACACTTCATTTTCTTGAATTCAGAGGAATGGCAGTTGAAGATCCAAGTTGCCCTCATGGGCTTCGTCTGGCAGTGGAGGACTACCCTTTTGCTGTGGATGGATTAGAGATATGGGATGCTATCAAGACATGGGTCCAAGATTATGTTTCTTGCTACTATGAGACTGATGAAACTGTTAAACAAGACTCCGAACTACAAGCTTGGTGGAAAGAACTTGTGGAAGTGGGTCATGGAGATTTGAAAGACAAGCCCTGGTGGCCTAAGATGCAGACACGCAAGGAACTTGTTGAATCTTGCACTATTGTCATATGGACTGCTTCAGCTCTCCATGCAGCTGTGAATTTTGGACAATATCCTTATGGAGGTTATATTCTGAACCGTCCAACACTGAGTAGAAGATTGATTCCTGAAGAAGGAAGTGAAGAATTTGAAGAGCTGAAGAACAACCCAGAAAAAGCTTTCTTGAAGACAATAACACCAAAGATTCAGACCCTCATTGACCTTTCGGTGATTGAGATATTGTCAAGGCACACTTCTGATGAGGTTTATCTGGGGACGAGAGACAGTCCTGACTGGACATCTGATGTGAAGCCATTGGAAGCTTTTAAGAAGTTTGGGAAGAAGCTTTCTGAGATTGAAGAAAAGCTTATTGCGAAGAACAAAGATGAGAAACTGAGGAACAGGGTTGGTGTGGTTAATGTACCTTACACTTTGCTTTATCCTACAAGTGAGGAAGGGCTAACAAGTAGGGGCATTCCAAACAGTATCTCCATTTGAAGATGTTTCATATGAGAATGATTGTGTGTTTGATTGTAATACTTATTTCTGTTTCAAAATGTTCTACTTGTTTCCCAATAAACCGTGCCGTTTGTAATCGGCAAGTGCATTTCCAAATGCTGTAATAGAATTAATAATAACAAGCTTTGTTTATTATTATTATTATTTTGAATTTAGCTTTGTTTATATTTGAACTGAGATAATACTGCAAAATAATTCTTTATTTCTTTATTAAAAACCTAAATATGTGGTAGTAGAATTAAATTACATAGTTCTGACTTTGGAATTTAATTTGGAAAGAGATGAAGTAAGTAATGTATAAATATCACCGTTGAGCGTTTCGATCCTGGACTTGATGTGCGATCATTTAATAACAAAGCAATCTGAAAAACCTACTGGACAAAATACATATATGCAAATATGCTTTGAGGCAGAAATGCAAATATGCCCAAAATATATTCACAAGAAAAGTTATGAACAATAATGATATGCTTTGAGGCATTCAACAAAAGAAAATGTTCAAAATTTTAAATAAAAATGTCTACTTTTCAGAGTAATTAATATAAAATTGAAAATAACAAATAAAAAATATATACCAATTCGGAGCGCACTACCAACAAAAAAATAAATAAATTAAAACCCAGGTGCAATTTAGCTTGTATTATTATTATTATTATTAGAAAAATATAACTTTAAATTTCTGCATTTTGCTTGAGTTTTGTCATAGGTCTCTATACTTTTTTTTAATATTTTAGGTCTTTATAGTTTATTTTTTAGTGTTCTAGATTCCTTTATGAACGGTGTTATAGGGACTTAAAATATTAAGATATTGAAAAATGTATAAAAATTATAACAAAATTTAAATAAGTGTAGGAACCCAAATTTAAATAAATAGAGATGTTTATACTCTACTATAAAGACAGCATTTAAAATGTTAAAACTCTTAACTATGTCGTTGGGAAGTTTCAAGGCAATTGATAATTTTTTGAAGACTAATTACTCCTTTCATTTCTAATATAAAAGAAAATAATTAACTTACACAATTTTAAAAATTTAATTAAATATAATAATTATATTTTAAAATAAAAAATTAGATTAAATTATCTCTGCAATCAATGAAACAAAATGCTTCTTAAAATTTATGTTTTTGCTTATAAATAAAAGGAGAGGAGGGAAGCCCTCCACTGCACTGGAGGTAAATCGAGACAATCCAGATTTATTTGAATGGTCCAAATTTAATCTTTTTTAATAAAATAAAAAATTATATAACTATAAAAAATTTAATAAATTTTTTATAAGTTTTTTTAAAAAATTCAAATTTAATATATATAATCCAGATATAATATTAAAATTTTATAATTTTTTATAAATTAATTATTTAAATATATTTAGATAGTGCAACTTTAATATTAAAAATGTTTAATTTTTATAAATTAACTATCTAAATATATTCTAGACAATATAGCTTTTATATTAAATTGTTTTTAATATTATATCTAGATCATATATATTAAATTTAGATTGTCTAAACTAATGAAGAGATTTATTAAAATTTTTTATAGTTTATATAATTTTTATTTATAAAATAAAATAAAAAATATTAAATTTGGACCATCAAACCGAATGGTCCAAATTTATCTCCAGCTGCAGTGGAGGGCTTCCCTCCTCCTAAATAAAAACAAAGAGAAACATAGTAATTTTTCTTATATTCAGAGTAAATTAGTTGTCATCAATTAATTTTATTTTAGAATTTTAACTATTATTGTTCTTAGAGAGAAGATAAGGAGATCTCAAAAAGATTAATTAATTCAAATTAGATCCTGAATGTCAAATTTAAAAATTTATAATTAATTTCTCAATTTTGTAATTGCTTTGCAATGAATTTGTAACTTATTTTTTTAAATTTAAAATAAGTTACAAATTCATCACAATAAAATTATAAAATTAAAAAATTGAGTTGCAAAATTTTAAAATTTAAATTTAAAACTTAACTTAAATTAATTAATTCTTTTAAGACCTATCTATCATTCTCCGTTGTTCTTATCCTAAAACCCTTCTTTTTCTATCTTAAAAATAATAATAATATTACTATTACTATTATTACGTAATTTTTAAATGCGGATGAGTCGATTGACCAACCCGCTCGGGGGTCATGGTTTTGACTCAGTGCTCAAACTTTAAGCTCATTGTTTTGGACCCGCTGGCACGTTTGTGTTGACAAGTCAACGTCAGTGTCAGCAGCAGCCTCGAGGACTAATATTAGTGTTGTATGAGTTTATCACGATTACGTTGATTTTAACCAAAAAGTAGCATTACGTTTTGCCACGTGGCCCATATATATCCTCCACAAGAATGAGAGGTACATACTATTCTTTCCCTCTCATCTCAGTTTATAAATATTTTTGAAGTAATTAATTTGATATTTTATTATTTAATTCATTTTGATAATAATAAATTCAGTTTATAAAGTTTTATTAATGATGATTATTCCAATATTACTCATCATCATTTCAACTTTTAAATAATTTTCCTTCCCTCTCCCTTAAAGGATATTTTTAAAAATTTAAAAAATTATTAAAATTATAAAGTGTAATTAATAAATTTCATAACATGTGTAATTATATATATATCACATGTATGTATGTATATTATGTCATATCAAATTCGGATAGATAGAATATTTCTTAGTCATTGTTTTCTTAGCCAGAATTTATCGCCCAATCATAGCTTCATACGTTGTTTAAATTTGCTTAATAGTTATCAGTTTTAATTAATGTGTTGAATTACCATAAAAAAATAATAATAAGGTGTTTTATAGTATGTATCACATTAAAATTCTCTTGATCATAAGTTTATTTTGACACGATAGATGTTCATCATCCTTATTAATTTAACATCAACAAGAAGCATTTACTGTACTATTATCGATATTTAATTGTATATTTACTAATCAACGAGAGAAGCAATAGTAATAGTTTTACAGGCATATAAAATATTTTCTTGTGTTTCACATTAATGTATTACGATTTAATTGCATCATAGGTTGAGAAATAAATTGTATTTGTCTCCTTCAATTTAATTGGCAAGCTTTTTATATATATATATATATATATATATAGATAAATTAAATGTTCGCCATCAGATGTACACCGCAATTGCACAAGTTGTGATAAACAATAAAATGATAGAGAAGAATTGTCTAATAAAGATTCGTATGAAAAGCAATCAAACGTTGGACATTTCATATTTGACTAATTAATTTGAACAAATCAAAACGAAGGCCATTTTCATTTCTTAAACACAATAATATATAATCAATTTGTGCTAGGCTAGGACCAATTTGACGTATAAGTTTAAGAGCTCTCTCTAGCACCAACTAAGATATCTAATTCAATTAATTAATCTCATAATAATGTCCTATGAATTTCAGCTAGACATGATTTGTTTTAACAAAATAACCCATCAATTAGTTGCAAAACTTCAAGCTAATGAAGTGACAAAAGAAAAGAAGAAAAGAAACAAAACTGAAAAGATTGAAACCCAATTCTCTAATTTGAATACAAAAGGAGCAATCTTTTTGAAGATTTAAAATTGCTTATTATACTTTTATTCAAAACTTCAAGATTGAATTTATCAATCTTTTTACTTTATTATTATTGCTAGTATATATAATTTTATTTGATGTGAAATTTTTCATACCGATTTAAATTCACTCACGTTTCTGGGACATTTTAACATATATAATGATGAGATATTGACATATCAAAATGTTGATATATTGATTTAAAAGTAATTTAATTTTTAAATACTACATTAGAAGGACGAGGATAATGTCAAGTCACAAGAAGACAAAAAAATTAATTATATTAATTTCAAATCAGACAAGAATGCTCAAGATAAGGGCAAGTTTACTTTATTTTTTTTAAAATTTATAAATATTAAACTTTCATTTTGCAAGTGAGGCAAGTGAGAGTCATTGAAAACCCCATATCCATATCGAGCTTCGTCTGTATAAATACCCATCCTCCATGCGTTCCTCTTCTTCCCGTAAAAACTTATTCTGTGAGGCCTATATATATAGTGTATATA